CTTTTGTCCCTCAGGGCGACTAACGTTCCACGGATTTTAAACAGGGGAGCAGATTTATTATCCAGGGGAAACCCCCTGTATGGGGAGTGGAGACTCCATCCCCAGGTGGTGAACCAGATTTGGCAGAGGTACGGACAGGCAGCTGTAGATCTCTTCGCCTCGCAAGAAAACGCTCATTGTCCTCTGTATTTCTCTCTAGCAGACGAAAATGCACCACTGGGTGTGGATGCTCTAGCCCACTCATGGCCAGATGTCCTGCTTTACGCATTTCCTCCTCTGAGCTTAATTTCCCCCACTCTAGCCAGAGTGAGGGAACGGGGTCTGTCATTAATACTGATAGCTCCACTTTGGCCATCCAGACACTGGATGGCCGAGAGTTCAACTGCTGTCAGGCCAGCCGTGGAGGAATCCATGGAGGGATCTACTGTCTCAGGCAGGGTGGGAAATTTACCACCCTCACCCAGACAGGATAGCTCTCTGGGCTTGGCCCGTGAGAGGTGGAAATTGAATGCAGCAGGTCTGCTTTCATCAGTCATACATACTATTCAGAGTGCAAGAGCCTCCTCTACTCGCTCACTTTATAGCAATAAATGGCAAGTCTTTGAAGGATGGTGTGAGTAGACTCATATTATGCCTTTTCAATGCTCGGTGAGGGATATTTTATGCTTTCTTCAAGATCTTCTAGATAAGGGGAAGGCTTTCTCCACCATTAAGATGTATTTAACCCTCTAAGCGCCAAAGTTGCAAAATTGCGACAAGACGTCATACTTAATCAAATAGACTGTAGTTCCTAATATGGTGTAATATCTCATTTGTATTCCCTACCACTAGATGGCAGACATGTAGTACTTCGATTCTAGACCAAAATTACGTCATTCAAAGTGTTTGAGGAAAGAGCAGAGCAAGTGAGTTTTCGTGTCATTGATGCAGAAGCAGTTCAGTTCATAGCGTGCTAGAGAGAAATCGGCAAGCCAGCACCCCTTGAGAAGTCGTATTTTGAAAGGGGCACGCCATAAACGTCCGGTTTCCAGACAGATGGTTCCTTTATGGGATTTATCCATCGTCCTAGAAGCTCTTTCTCAACACCCTTTTGAGCCATTGGAGGGTATTGGGCTTAAGTTGCTCTCTCTTAAGACGGTGCTACTCATGGCTTTAGTAACAGCGTGACTTACATGCTTTGTTAGTCTGTCTTGTTTGCAGTTCGCTCCAGGGCTCACTAAGGCTTCCTTTCGCCCTAGCCCGGCTTTTGTGCCTAAGGTAGTTGTCTCAGCCTATAGGTGCCCATCTACTGAGCTGGAATCTTTTGTTTTTACCCTCCTCCGTTCTCTTCTCCGGGGGAGCAGAGGTTGAATTCATTATGTCCGGTACGGGCTCTTCATATGTATGTGAAAAGAACAGCAGGTATTAGGACTCATGACCAGCTGTTTGTGTCGTGGGCTACTCCTCACAAAGGGAAGGCGTTGTCTCGTCATCGGCTGTCTCATTGGATCATAGAGGCTATATCTTTAGCCTATATTTGCAAGGGTCTTCAACCACCTAAGGGCTTGAGAGCCCACTCCACTCGGGGGATGGCTACATCCTGGGCCTTACTCAGGGGAGTTTCGGTTCAAGATATTTGTTCAGCAGCAAGTTGGGCTACGCCGCATACTTTTGTGCGGTTCTATAGACTGGACGTGTCTGAGCCATCCTTAGCACATGCAGTGCTGGGAGCCAGTTTGTCTGTGCCCATTTAAGTGCTATGAGGATAGCAGTGGCATGGGAGCAATCCGGGAGTGGTCTATATATCCCATAGTGAAACACCGAGCGAAGTTAGAAAAAGAACGATGGGTTATTTAAAGGCAAAAGGTAATTTTCACCACTGGATGGCGCGTATTCAAAATAAACAAAGGCGTAGTTTGATGACGCCGTGACTGAGTGTGGAATCATGGGAGTTGTCGTCTTCATCCCCACAGCCGATGCAATCCGACGGGACTCGGGCAGAAATCATGTTCATGGATGAGCTAATGATTTATTAACGTAATAGAATGAAGCAGGGTGAGGCTGAAAGCCGTCGAAGCGAAATGAGGCCACTGAACGAGCGTGACACGCGGTTAGAAAGCAGCGGAACTTTTATTATGCCACAGTCGACTGCTTCCTCTCCTTCCGGTTGTGCGTATGTGGGGGAAAAAAAGCAACGCTGTTTTATCATACTTTTAAACATTCTTTGAAACATTTGGGATAATGTAAGTACACAAGTCAGCAAAGTATATAACACTGTTCTAGTGGTTTTTGGATATTTTAATAAAAAAATTTATATATACATATTGTGCCTTTAATGTAAACCTGGGTTCTTTGATAACAGAGTGAAGTGTTTCACCAGCACTTCCCTCCTTGCACGGGTACGGGAAGAAATCTCTCTATAATGACTTTGGCAGGGGTCAAATACAGACGTGATGTCATTGGAGCTTCCACAGTTTGTCATGCCCAAAGCGATTCCCATAGTGAAACACCTGACTCTGTTATCAAAGAACCTGGGTTTACGTTAAGTAACCCATTGTTTCTGATAGAAACGTTTTTAATATGTCTTCTGTTTGAAGGTTTGGGAAGAACTGCTCCAGACCCAAGAGCTGCTGTATCTCTGAATGGAGTGGATGTTCCTCTGGGCAAAGGCATCAACACAAATATTGAAGACACAAGTCTGCTCTACAACGAGTATCCTTTTTGTTTTCTGCATCATTCATTTTCCTTCTTGCTGTTGTTTATCTCTTGATGTAGGTAAATGTACATCTCAAATATATTTAGACAATTACACATTCACTATCTTTCACAGTTTCCCTTGACTCTGACTTTCCTCCAGGTACATTGTGTATGATATTGCTCAGGTTAACCTAAAATACCTGCTAAAGATTCGCTTCAACTACCAGACCTCTCTGTGGTGAGACAGCGGATGAGAGTTGTCCAGGTGGACAGGCTTTTGAAAGCCACTGAAGCCCACTGCTACAGCTTTAGCACCAAGACCAAACAGCATATGGGTTGATAAACGATTAAATCAGTTCTCTAGCGCTTCGACAGCACATTTCCTGTTGCTTTGTCTGTTAGTTTGGAGTAAGTTAAGTGGCTATATGTAAATTGTATCACTGCATTGTTGCAAATATTGCAGGCTTTGGTACATATTCACAGAAATGATTGGACTTATCTGTGGAGATCTTTCTTATAAGCTACCAACGATGATAGGTAGACAGTCTTCCATGTTTCATAGACTTTTTCTTTAATAGTTTTGCTAAACCTGGAATCAGGTTAACTGTAACACATCTAGTGTACACATTTTTGTTTGTCTTCTCAATATAAAAAAAAGGAAATGTACAGTTTTAGAAAAGAATGTTGTAAGCTAGGATATAGCCTTCCATAAGTGAATAACCTTTTACTAGAATTGCCAATGTATGGGCAAATATTTTGTATGTTAAATCTGTACCATCCCTGTTTTGCTTTTCAGTTTTCTGTCCTTTAAAAATGTACTTTGGCCAACTAAAATGGCAATGAAAAGCTAAAAGCAATGGCTGCTGCTGTACTTACGCACCTGTAATCTTTTTTTGTTTTTGATAAATGTTGCTCCACAGCGGTCTTGCGGACAAGAAGCTGTTTCGCGTCCTGACAAATGTCTTTGCATCATAAATAAAACGGTTTTTGGCTTATGTTTGAAGCTCATTTATTTCTGTCACATGATTCTGTTCAGTTTCACAAACATTTGTGACCCTGGACCACAAAACCAGTCATAAGGGTAAATTTTTTTTTTATTGAGATTTATACATCATAAATAAAAAGAATAAATAAGCTTTCCATTGCTGTATGGTTTGTTAGGATAGGACAATATTTGGCCGAGATACAGCTATTTGAAAAACGAATCTGAGGGTGCAAAAAAATCTAAATATTGAGAAATTTGCCTTTAAAGTTGTCCAAATTAAGTTCTTAGCAATGCATATTACTAATCAAAAATTAAGTTTGAATATATTTACAGTAGGAAATTTACAAAATATCTTCATGGAACATGATCTTTACTTAATATCCTAATGATTTTTGGCATAAAAGAAAAATCAATAATTTTGACCCATACAATGTATTTTTGGCTATTGCTACAAATATACCCCAGCGACTTAAGACTGGTTTTGTGGTCCAGGGTCACATTTGTGTATGAGAGAATCCAGAAGAAATTAGAAAAAAGAAGAATAAAATAGTGTTCACTACTATTGATATTTGAAATAAAATGTACCAGACTAATCTATTTCTGTACATTTGTAATTAAAATTGCTCAGTACTACAGCATCTGTTCTGACCAAATCTTTATGAAAAATGTATTATGGGTTTACCACATTAAAAAATAAGTAAAACATAGAAGCTATGGCATGTTGGTGGATATTTGCATTAAATCTATTAAAGTAACTAATCTACTGTTGGAAGTCCCCCAGTCAAACTATATTTACACCTGCAGGAACTAGAATACATTTTTATAAGTGTAGTTCTAGACTACCAAAAAAGCACCTTGGTACTATGTTACTGTGTATGTGTCTCTCTGACACTAACCGCCATGCATTCATAGTTTTATCTGTGGTTACTATGATTTTGCAACAAACTCATAGTTCTCAGTGCTTCTCAACATTTTTGACTTGAAACAATTTCATAATAATGCGTTTTTGCAATGAAATAGGATAAATAAATACTCGGTTTACAATTTAATTTTACGTTTATTATTCAGATTATTTTTATATAAGTTAATTTAGTAATTTAAGTCATCCTGAGGCCACATAATGGGCCCCAGTCCCCTGGTTGAGAACCAGTGATTTTTCCTAATGTGTAGTCATGAGGAAAACTTTCAAACTTGTTTTAAAATGATAATATAAAAATAAGAAAGTGGCTAAAAAAAAATTTAAAAAAACACACCTGACCAGTCCTAATGTATTTTAAGATTATTGTATTTGCATACAATGTACATGAAATCTAAAATATGTTGGTAGTTTGAGCGCAAACTGTGGAGTGTTTGAACTGCCCTCTCCGTCCCACAATGCTTCGCGGCACTCGGCCTTTGAAAAACCGGCGCGGCTAATTCAAGATGGCGGAGCTCGAGCAGCTGTTAGACGAGAGTGAGTAATAAAACTAACTCCTCACTAGAGCTTCGTAACTCTCTTGCCGAGCATGTGTACACTTTTAAGGCACTTTATAACGCATGTTATTTGACATACATTTCAAGTGTTTTTCATTGTTGTGAGTGGTGTTAAAATAGACGCAAAGTTATTAGCGCTGGAGCTAACGAGCTAACAGTTAGCTTTCAGAAGCTACTACTATAAATAAATATACCTGAGGAGGTTTTCGCCTAACAATCCCTTTATAATGCTTTATTTATGACCAAGACGAATCTTGCGGTTGATAGTAGTAGTGTGGTGGTTATAATACGGACAGAGTTTAACTTCACAGACATTTATAGGGTCGTAACTCGATGACAGCTGCTGGGTTTTGTTGTTCTTATCAGTGTCAGTCTGTTTGTCCAGTAAAACACTCTCCGTATAATAAATAAACACTTTCCATATGTTAACAGCACTCTTCATCTGTTAAAAATACTCTCTCTATATGATGCAATACTGGTTTCTAGATTTTATCTGGTTCATCACAATAAATCTCAGTGGATTTTTTTCCCCACTGTCATGTATATGCTTTGTTTTTATTGCATTAGGATTGCGGAGGATGTAATTCCTCCGCTATGCTGTTCGGTTGTTTGCTGTTTACTGTTACTTTATAGTTATTACTGTTAATATCTGCAACAATGGCCCAAATGCATGGTTTGCATATTGAACTAGAGCAGTGATAAAAAGACACATTGTAATATAGTCAGTACTATAAGCAGCTTATGCATACAAAGAGATTATTTGTGGTTTCTGAGTGGATCAGTTTAAGTCAAAAAAATTACATTAAAAAAATACATATATAATTTAAAGTTGTAATAGTAACTGCCCAAAGCATAATTGACATGTAGCACTTTTATTATGGAATTAGGCTTGTTATATTTTAGCACCTTTAGTATCTTTGTGGAGTAAGATAAATATGAACTTAATTATTACCTATGCCTTTGCCCAGGGTTTGTTGCATAAATTTAAGATTTGCTTTTTTAGATGTTTAATCGTATCTTTCTTTTGAAAATGTTATGTTTAGATATATATATCAAAGTCGTCCATTGTTCATCCATTGTTCTTTTGTCTTCAGGCTCTTCAGCTAAAGCCCTTGTAAGTTTAAGAGGTAGGTCAGTCTGCTGTTTGTGACACCCACAACTATTGTGCTGTACATTGTCACAAAATACTGAGTCTTTACATCACAGCCACAGTTTAGTAATTGTTGGCACTGCTGTTTTGCTTTTCTACAGAAGGAAGTTTGTCTAATACTCTAAATGAGAAGAACAATTTACCAAAATCTCAGACCACCAGGGGACGGAGCAGTTACGTTTCTGTGGAAACTGTAAGTTGTCATTAATGCTTCATACTAGGGTTGGGCCTATAGACGATGCCATCGTCCATCGCCGATGGCTGACAGACATCCCCCCCCCCCACATACCCCCCGCATTCCGCCGCAT